ATTGGTATCCATCTTCTCATCTAACTCCACAGCAAAAAGTACTCAAGAGTGTTGACCCATTCATTTGAACTATATTCTAATTTAATGTTTCTAATTAAAATAATATCATTTAAAATATTGACTCTGTCTGTGTAAGGCAGTATAAAACAAACAGTTTCCTCATTACTGACAAGTGTGTTCTTTAAAAATGTGTGTGTGTGTGTGTGTGTAGTCCCGGAGTGTGGAAACTGGTGGCCAAGTTCCAGAGCAACCCACAGCAGAGCTACTCTGCAGAGTTTGAGGTTAAAGAATATGGTGAGTTCCTTTTTATCACTGCTGTACATTATAGTAAAACCTATGCAACATTCATTTTAACTTGACCAAACACAATAAAATACATTTCATTTTTCAGTACTGCCCAGTTTTGAGGTGAAAATTACACCTCAGAGCTCCTTCTTCTATGTGGATGATCAGGAGCTCACCATCATCATCAAAGCTACGTATGTGAAGCTTTTGTGGTTTCAGAGACCAGGTTTGATTGGTTGATTGACTGGAGGAGGAATAAAAGAGGACATGTTGGAGCACTTGTTTTATTCTCTATTTCATTTGTTGTTATTACATTTTGACCATTCCAGTTTAATAGCTTCACTTCACCGTGGGCTTAAACGCAGTCTTGTCTTGTGGTTTTAGGTATCTGTTTGGTGAAGAGGTGGATGGGACAGCTTATGTAGTATTTGGGATTACGCATGAGGGAGAAAAAAGGAGCCTTCCTCGCTCTCTTCAGACAGTATCAGTGAGCATGTCCCTACACTTTATTTCTGTTTGTCAGTTGATTGGTCATTCATATACAGTGTGTGTTTTACAGCTTGGCTTTTACCAGAAATCCAAAATCTTTGAGACTGTAAAACAAAAAACACCTGTTGTTTTTTTAGTTAATTGTTATGAAGTTCAGAATAAAACCAGGCTAACATAAAAATGTGCACAGTTTAGTGAAGTACCTCCAACAGTTAACTGACTGTACTGTACCACTATACTGTATTTCATGATGCATTTGTATAATGTGTCACATTAGGTCGACAGAGGTAACGGACAGGTCACACTGAAGAGAGAGCACATCACAGAGACCTTCCCAAACATTCTCGAACTGGTGGGGGGTTCCATTTATGTAACTGTCAGTGTGCTGACGGAGACCGGTAAGAAAGAGACTGTGCATTTGTGAGAGAAAAGATATGTGTATGTATATTATATGCATTTTACTGTGTGAGGATTAAATCAACGGTTTCAATATAACAGCTAGTATTTTGAGTGTTACCTTTTTCATCATGGCCTTTGTTTATTATGTGACTAAGGTATGCCTGAAAACAATGTCCATTTAATATTTCATTATAGAATCATGTTATCCATTTGTGGTGACTTTTTCTGGTTGGATGAATATAAATTATTTTAGTTGTGTTTTAGGAGAGGAGTGAAGAATGTGCAAAATGTAACTATTTTTAAAACAAATGACTGTGATGTGCATGCATCACAAACAGGTACTGAAATGGTGGAGGCAGGGCTTAGTGGTATCCAGCTTGTCACATCACCTTACACCATCCGCTTTAAAAGAACGCCCAGATATTTCAAGCCAGGAATATTTTTTGATGTAGTGGTAAGTACTACTAGATTTCTAGTTATGTAAAATGTAATGTTAAGAACAAAACAACAAGATGACTATAGCCTCATAAACATGACAATAGTTTAAATACCCTATTAATGCACACACTGGGACAGTACTGACTACTGTTTGTTCTGCTGCTTGTTTTGTTTGATGGCAGATTGAAGTTTTGAATCCAGATGAAACTCCAGCAAAAAGTATTCCAGTGGTGGTTGAGCCAGGCCCTGTTAACAGCCTCACTGCAGACAATGGCATGGCAAGACTTACCATCAATACAGAGGCAAGGAGTCCAATACTGAGAATCACTGTAAGTCACCACAATGCTCTTGAAATATTTTAAAATACTTTTGCATTACAGCCCATTTTGCAAATGAAAGCTTAAAGGTGCAAATGAAATCAAGCAGTGCTGTCACCCATTTCTTCAGTTCTGTGCAGATTTCTAGTTTAATGTAGCTCATTGTTTTGCTTCTCTGTCGCTCACACCTTAACTTTGCAGTATGTGACTGAGCATTCTATAAGTGTCCTTAGGTTAAAAACAAAGGCATCTTTCTGCACCCTGATGGCCCTGAATCATGTAATGCAGGCTTTAAAGGTGGAATGCTTATGAAAACAGTCAGGTACAGTTTTTAGTCAATGTTATTCTTAACTATAGATGAGTTACAGTTTGAGTTGATGCTTCCTGGAGGTTCTTTAATATGCAGTTACCTTAAGAAATAACTGACATAGAACACGCCCTAGTCCTTTGTATATGATATAATAATGTGTACAGTACTGTGCAAAAGATTTAGGCACTTTAGATTTTTAGATGCTTACCCATCACATAGTATCATCAGGGAGGCATCTGACAAATCCATCCAGGTCCCAAATTCATTCTGTAGCATGATAATGAGCAAACAATACAGGTGGAGTCATTCAGAACTATCTTCAGGGACAAGAAGTGCAAGGAGTCTTGCAACAGATAGTCTGGCCCCAAAAGAACACCATACAGTCAGTCAAGGATTGCATGAAGAGACAAAAGACACTGAGACTGTTTAAATCCACCAAAAACAAAAAAACCTGGCATGTTGTCACAGGTACATAAACAACTTACCTGTTGAAAGGTAACTTGAAAAAACGTTTTTAATGCAAAGTGTGGTCACGCTAAATATTGGTTTGATTTAGGATTTCTTGTTTACTACACTGAATGAAATTAATTGATAAAGACTATTCATGGCAATAGATTTCAAAGCATTCTTACTTTAATTTTAGTGCTGAAAGCCTTTGCACAGTAATGTATGTGCTGTGTGTCTCTTATTTTAGGCAAGGACCAATGATCCTCGTATTACACAGGGAAGACAAGCATCAGCCACCATGGAAGCTCACCCATATACTACCAAGAGCAACAGCTACATCCACATCAGTAAAGAAAATCCTAAAATAACAAGGCGATGATGGTGGTGGCAGTGACAGAGTGTATACCATGCTCTACATCTTTTTAATGTCAGGCACTCAACAAAATGTAATTTTTGCAGGTGTTGATACAGCAGAGCCTCAGTTAGGAGACAACCTGAAAATCAACCTCATCTTCAACAAGCAGTCAGCTCAAGACACTGATATCACATACCTGGTGAGATGTTTTGGCTCTGTGTTTCTGTGGACATGTGTAACTACTTTGCTTGCATCCCACAACTTACATGTGTTTTCACTCATTGTTGAAAAGAGCTGATATGTAAATCTGTGTTCCTAGATCCTGAGCAGAGGTCGGCTGGTGAAACATGACCGTTACAAGACAAAGGGTCAACCAAGTAGCGATTTCCCTGATAGTTCCCATCACCAAAGACTTGCTGCCATCTTTCCGCGTCATAGCCTACTACCACACAAATGACAATGAAGTGGTATCAGACTCTGTTTGGGTGGATGTCAAGGACTCCTGCATGGGCACGGTGAGACACACAACACTGCTGAAGCAGAGTTAAACTGATCAAGTGAACAGACAGGGCACACAAAGTGATGAAGTTAGTTATTGATACACTCTAAATATGGGTATGCAGTGTGGCACAGTGGCATGGTGGTTTTGGGTTCAAGCCCGGGCCGACTCAGGGCCTTTCTGTGTGGAGTATGTATGTACTTCCTGTGCCTGCATGGGTTCTTTCTGGGTACTCCAGCGTCCCACTGCAGTCCAAAGACATGCAGTTTAGATTGATTGGTGACTCTAAATTGCCTGTAGTGATTGTGAGTGTGTGTGTGGTTGTTTGTCTACATGTCAGCCATGTGATAGACTGGCGACTTGTCCAGGGGGAC